GCCCCTGTGTTACGACGATCCGTATCCTTGCGGTGAGTTGTGAATCGGGTTATAGATTTTAGACTCGGTACACACGTATCAGTATGCGTCTAGGCGGATTTCTTCAAGATGATGGAGTTGTAATACGCGCTTTTCCGCCGCGGCTTTCAGATCGTAATTCAGAGTTTTGATAGCCCATAACGCCTTATGTTCCAGTTCAACCGGCAGATGATGCTAGTCTTCATTCAACATTGTTCCCACAATGATGACTGACTAGGGAGTTTAGAATCATTCTCTAATGATTCAAGGATGCCGAAATACAACAAACATGCTAATCGTATAACGGATAAAAAATGCATTCATAAATCAATGAATTAATACAAAGTAAAATGTCATATCATGGATCATCCTAGAGCATTACAACCAACAGCACCTTGGTATGCCGACTTCGTCAACTACCTGGTTAGTGGTCTCCTTCCTCCTGCGCTGAATTACAACGGGAGAAGAAATTTCTCCATGATGTTCGTGATTTTTACTAGGACGAGCATTCTTATTCAAGCGTGGTAAAGACGGATTGTCAGACGTTGTATACCCGAGGACGAGGTTCAGCGAGTGATTTTCCATTGTCACTCTTCAGACTATGCCGGTCACTTCGCTAGTTCAAAGACAGTCTCCAAGATCCTTCAAGCAGGTTTTTACTCGCCCTCTCTATTTAAAGATGTTCACCGGTTTGTTTCTTCTTGTGATGCTTGCCAGCGCACCGGTAACATCTCCCGACGTCATGAGATGCCTCAGCAGTTCATCCTGGAAGTCGAACCTTTCGATGTCTGGGGGATCGAATTTATGGGCCCATTCCCTACTTCTTGTGGGAATCTCTACATATTGGTTGCCGTCGATTATGTGAGCAAATGGGTCAAAGCGATTGCCAGTCCGACGAACGACTCTAAAGTAGTCTCACGGATGTTTCAGAGATTCATTTTCCCTCGTTTTAGAGTACCGCATGTTATAATCAGCGATGGAGGGACTCATTTTGTGAACCGAGTCATTGAGAGTCTACTGAAGAAATACGGGGTTCAACATCGAGTTACTACTCCTTATCACCCGCAGACTAGTGGTCAGGTCGAGATCTCTAACCGGGAGATCAAATCTATTCTGGAGAAAACCTTATCCCGATCTCGCAAAGACTGGTCACAGAAACTCGATGATGCGGTCTGGGCTTACCGAACCGCTTTCAAGACTCCTATTGGTATGACTCCTTTCCAGCTGGTATACGGGAAAGCCTGTCATCTGCCGGTTGAATTGGAACATAAGGC